AGGACAAGGTGTCGTCAATGTCAAGTGGAAACGCGAACAATGAGGAGAGGAGGGAAATGATATCATGACGGATGGTGGAGACCTCAGTAATGCACTGGAGTGCTGCACTGGAATGTTCCCCAACTCATAGGGGGCAGGGAAGAGCCGATCTTATCACCCTGAGGGCATCTGAGATTAGAGACAGGTCTGGCCTGGCTCATGGGTAGCAGAGAGTAATTGGCAAGACAGGGTGGAAGTCTTCCTTGAGAACTGGCTCTATCCCTTTCCTGGGAATCTTTCCTTAGAGGTCAAGTCTAAGGAAAGTCTGCCTTTCAACTTGAAAGAAGAGGTCTGCCTCTTCACCAGCTCCCAGGCAATGGCAGAGTGGAGTAGTTGTAGTGAAGACTGGGGGGCCCTCAAAGCCTAAAAGGACCATCTGGCCCTTTATGGAAAAAGGCTGCTGAGCCCTAGTCTAGGCAATGCAGGTAGAGCAGAAGCAACCAGAGATAATGCACAAATGGATGTGTCTAGCTGTGGTCAATAAAACTTTATTTACAGAAACAGGGGGCAGCTGGATTTAGCCTGTGGGTGGTGGTTTGCTGACCCTGACCTAGAGCACAAGCTCCACTGTGCAAAAGCATGCAGAGAGATTTCCAACTGTCCCAAGCCCGCCATGGCAGCCCTCGGATGGGGAGCCGTGCACACGGCCAGGGCTCCAGGGAAGCTTGGCAACTGGGCACTGGTTAGCTCTCTGGGGTCTTGTCATTTCAAGGGGAACCAACAACAACATTCCAAAGTGAGACACAGAGAGGCCTTGGAGCAGATAAGCCCTCCCACCTTTTCAAGAAGTCCCGTTCTCACGACCACAGCCGCTCGAGTGTGAGTCATCCTCTGCCAGAACCACCCCTGGGCTGAATGTATGTGTTGGATTTTCTGGCATTCATTCTTCTTCCCTTTGTCACAGCACCTCTATTCCCACTGGGGGCTGACCCCACCCATGTTGCTTATCATCTTGGTGGGACTCTCCATACTGGTCTTCTGCCCTTCTCCAACCAGTAAGCCTGTGATCCAAGATGGATTAATCCGCCCTGTTTCCATGGAATCACAACCTTGGGTTAAGCACTGAAAATGACTCAGGCAGATTCATTTCCCAATAGGGGTGCCATGAAGATTGTCTGTTGCTCTGGCCACCCAGATTCCTGCAGCTGCCTTGGATTCTAATAGTTCTGAAATTGACAGTTGAGTGGCTTTGTTTTTAAGGTTTCTGATCATTCATGCCTTTCTAATAAATTCCCTTTTGAAAACTCCATCAAAGCAGTCAGGTGTGGTTTCTGTTGCTTGCAGCTGGAGAAATCTGAAGTCATCTCCTAATTGGTCTTAATAGTTCCAGAGAAACCCCTCTGCAGCCCATGGCCCCAGAGCTAGCTTTTTATAAATGCAGGTCAGATCATGCCACTTCTCTGCTCAGGAGAGAACAAAACAGAGCCCCAAACCCTCAGCAAGGCATTTAAGGCCCTCCTTGATTTGTCCCCAAGTTTCTCTTTCAGTCTAGTCTCCTATGGTATACATCCATATATACTTGAAGTCCCCCCAAACATGCCAAGTATCTTTCTTCCTCTGGGAGAAGCAGCTCTCTTTGGGTAGACAGATTTCTACCCTGGGATAAGCTGTGAGAAAGCATCAGCACTTAGCCATACTGACCAGAGAAGAGGGGCAGTAAGTGGACATAAAGGGAGAATAATGAAGTGCTGAAGGGTCTCTGCCCTGCAGTGGAGGAGACAGGGCTGGACGTACATCTCTAATGGATGTTCCTCCTACACTCTCCTCCCACCCGCCCTCCCAGCAACCCAGGCCCTGCCCAGGGACTCACATGTAAGCCTTGTAGTTGGATCCGATTTTCTGGATGCGGATGTCATACTTGGAGTCAATGAAGGCCTCAGTGGTGGCGTAGGTTTTGGCCATAGCCACCATGCTGGTGATGTCCTGGTAGTCATGCTGGTTTTCTACTTTGATCTGTGTGGGAGGATCGGGGGTGAGTGCCAGCCAGCCAGCCAGCGTTCATGGAGCACCTACCCAATGCCAGGACCCAGTGTTCTATATATATAGTGACCTTGAGGAAGTCACCTGCCTAGCAGGGGAGACACATAGGAAACAAGTCATTCCACTATGTACCTGTAGATGAGGAAGGGAACATTCCATTGGGGTTGTCAAGAGAATTTTTACAGAACAGGTGAACTCTGAACAGGGTTTGGAAGAATAAGTACAATTTTCAGCAGGGGCATTTCTCTGGAGGATGGAAGGGATGGGCAAAGCAGAGGCCGGAGGAGCCACATGGGGACATGGATGGGGAATACCCAAGCGGTTCAGACTGGCCAATGGGGCTGGAGGTTGAGGGATGGCTAAAGTGGGTTGTCAAGGAACAGACCTTGGGGGACCTCAGTCGCTTTGGTAAGAGGCTAGAATTTTAGCCTGAAGACTCTGGAAAGCCACTGGAAGAAGTGGAGGAGTTTAAACAAGAAAGTAGCCTAATTTGTGTTTTAGAAAAATCCCTCGTGCACTGGGTTTTATGCGTAACTAATGAATCGTTGAACACTACATCAAAAACTAATGATATACTATATGTTGGCTAATTGAATTAAAAAAATCCCAAATCCCTCAAGTAGTTGCATGGCAGGTTGTATGGTGGGTTGAATGTGACATGGGGTAGAGACCAGCTGGAAAAAGGGGAGTATATGTGTGTGTGGCATGTATGTGTTGGGTGTGTGCATGTGGGTTGTATGTATGTGCAGTTTGTGGGGGGACATGTGTGTGGTGGTGGGGAGTACATGTGTGTGGCATATGTTATATGGGTGGTGTGTTGTATGTGGTGCTTGTGTGTGCATGCGTACGCGTGCATATACACTGGACAAGGCTGGTTGTGCTCAACCCAAGGCTGGGGGAGAAACTCACACTGTTTCCTGGGCTGAGGCCAGGAACATGAAGTGGTAACTTGGGGTCAAGGACAGGTCCCAGGAGAACTTCCAAGGCCAAATGCAGGGGACGAGGCCAAGGCTCTGTGACCGTGATCTCAAGACAGAACACAAGCTGACTGCCACCAGCTGTGGCCAGCTTGGAGTGCTGCCCCCTCCCGTCACCCTCACCTGGACAGCAGAGGCGTCTGATGTTGGGCCAGAGGCCCAGACCCCCTGGGGGGGGCGTTGGCAGGTGCCGAACAGCTTGTGCGGGAGGCTCTCCGGTGCTTACAATCTCTCCTAGCCCTCTCCTGCCTCCCTCAGAGCCTCACCAGTGCCCTGACCACTCCATCCCTGTGGGATGATGCACACCCACAACCTCACAGCTTACAAAGAAGCTTCACAGCTCTCTCAGGGGACACAAAACAAGATTGTGAGGCAGGCAGTGTGGGCATTATTATGGTCATTTAACAGATGCAGAAACATATTTCTTGCCCTGTCCAAGGCCATATGGCAGCTAAGCGCAGAGCTGGGAAGGAAGCTCAGGACTCTAAGAGCACAGCTGTTCTCCAAACCATCTTCAGGGTATCCACAAGTGCATACCTGCTGTTCCACCCTAACAGATGGGAAACAATGATGGGGAGCGAGGCTTGGCACACCTTCTCTCTTCTTGGCTCTCTCAGAGTCCCTGCCTCTCAGCGATGATGCTGAGTACAACTTTGTGGAGAAAATAAGAGTGACCAAGCAAGAGTTCCCTATTTGCCATCCCTTTCCAAGCCCACCAGCTTTCCCGCTTCATCTTCCAGGTGGCCGTGCGCCCCCTCCCACTCATGGCTGAACTTGCCCTTTGTTCTAGGTCTTCTAAGACTGACTGCTCACTGCCCCTTCCTCCTTCAGGAATAGGACCCTTCAGTTTTATCTGGCATCTAGTCTCTCAGCTAAAGATTGCTTTGTTCCAGTCTCCCTCCTAGGTAGATGCGGCCAAGTCTCAGAATCTGGTCAGTGAACACGGGAGTGGATGTGCTGTGGGCAAACTCTGGGTGGTGCCTTTACCACAAAGGGAATCTTCCCAGTCTCTTCTCCCTCTTCCACCTGGCTGGGATCTCGGACCACAGGATGGAAGCCATATATGTTGAGGATGGCTGAATAATAAGGTGGATGGAACCTGGATTCCCAACACCATGGAGTCCCCAATCCGCCCTTGACTGTGCATGTTCAGACACTTACATGAGAAAGAAATGGACTTTAATCTTGTTTAAGTCACTGTTATTTTGGTCTTCATTAAAGTGGTCAAACTATATTTCTGCCTTGTATTTTTTGTCTTTTGCTCTCTGTTGATTCTTTATCCTTTGGGTCAACGTGATCATGGGCCCTCCATTCTCCTCAAATTGTTCCTGCTTTTCAATACCCCAGGTACTCCCTGCTCTTTGTCTCTACATCATTTCCCACTCACCCCTAAACCCACTGTCTTCGAATGTCAATCCCTACCACTCCACTGAAACTGATTTGGCAAAGATCACCTGTCACATCCTCGCTGGCAAATCCAATAGCGTTCTTTAGATTGGCATCCTGTTTGGCATTCCATGGCATCTGAAATTGCTGAGCTTTTTGAAACTTGGTTTCTGCACCACTACTCTCTTCTGGTTCTCTTTTTTCCTGCCAACTTCCTCACTTTATTGCCTCCCCCTTCCTCCAACTTCCCCTCTAATGATCAGAGTGTTTCATCTTCAGCCCATGTTCGGGGTCCAGTGGAGAGAGTTAGAGTTACCAAAATGAAAGAATGGCTGGTGGTGTGGGGGAAGCTTGCAGGGACAGCTTGTCTAATTCAGTTTTGTCCCTGGGTGGCTCTGGAAAGGACCAGAACTTCTTCTGCACCTCATTTTCCTAGACAGCACAGCATACATAGTAGGATGTCTTGGATGTCTTGGACACAACATCCATTCTCTTCTATAGTCATGAAGCACCCCATTCTGGGGGCAAGTGACCTCCCACAGAATAAATATCACACTTCCCCATCTCCCGGGCCCCTGTATGTGCCCATGTGACCATGTTTTCTGTTTCTGTGAGCAGGAGCGGAGTCCGAACTTCCAGGCCTACTATTAAAGGGAAGGGAAGTCTTTTGCTCTTCTTGCTAGATGGTGTGGACCATCTTTGACATTGTGGCCAAAGAACAACACCCCAGGAATTCATGATCAACAAGATGGAAGGAGTCTGGGTCCTTAAAACCAAGTAAGTTCCGTGAGAGCCCTGGGCTGCTTTCGCCCAGACCACTGTGTGTGAGAGAAGGTCCTGGCTTATTTAAGCCACCTTAGGTCTTTTGTTACACAGCTGAACTTTGTCCTAGTTATTATAGGAGCCCTAAGTAAATATCTGTTGAATGCATCATGCATGCATTCATCTCTTCACAGAATAGGCAAAAGGGAGCAAAGAGAGACAGTGTAGACATAGAGGTTTAATGAATTAATTAGTATTAATTAGTGTCAGCACAACCTCTCCTTGTGCACCTTTTCTGGGTAGTTTGGGGTGGGAGTGCTCATCCTGCCCTCTCTAGGAGTGAGGATATAATCCCGGTTTCTTGTATACGGACTCTTCTAAAACCCCAGGACAAGCCCTGGCCTATGTTCCTGGCAATTTTAAGTTCTTTTCCTTACAGGGGGCCTTCAAATTGTGCACGTCTGGGCCCTGTAAAGCCCAGCTCCACCGATGTTTTCCTCCCATTAGATGGTCAGCTTCTTGAGGACAGATAACGTGTATCCCCCACAAGTCCTAACACAGGTGCCTGGCACAGATGTGCCCAACATGTTTGCTGGATTGAATTTAAGAAGACTTGATAAAGATCCACTCGTAACTTGGGAGGGGGCAGGGGAATGGGAGGAAGAAAACAGTGGGAGTTTGGGAAAAGGCAAAGAAAATATGTCTCCGGAAAACTTGTCTTTTCCAAGGTGAATTTTTCTGCAACTGCTCAGACTGGATTCTGCACTCTGGGAGGTATATCTTTCTATCATGAGAACCCGATCAAATCAGGAACTTCGGAAAAGCGGGCAGGGGGCCTGGGGCCGGGTGTGGTGGGTGCCGGAGGGGACTCTGGCATGGTCCTCAGGCAAAAGGATAGGCGAGGTCAGAGAGCACTGGGGCCAGGCAGCCACAGGGATGAAGTGGCTGCTGGCCTGGGGAGGGAGTCTTGGCTCTCTGCTTTATTTATTAGCTGGAAACCCCTCCAAATGTTCACAGAGACAAGCTGAAAACAGGAAGCCCCAAATGAGCTGTGATTCAAGATTACCCATTTGCTGCTCTGGGGACCTGCAATGGGGTCACCATGGGCTCCCTGACTCCGAAGCCTCACTCCCACGTCCCTGCCTCCCTCTCCCCTCTTTTCCCTTCCCCGTCTCTTCTCTTCTTCTTTCCCTCTTTCTCTGCCTTCCTTGTCTTCTCTCCCTCTCCCCTACACTGCTCTGCTTGCTCTTGTGTGTTTGTGTGCACGCATGTGCATCGTCCTGAGGGTGAGCAAGCTGGGAGCATGGAGACAGAGAGGGCGGAAAGGGAGAGAAGTGGGAGAGAGGAGTCAGGGCACAGTTCTGAATCTCCTTGATGGGATTCACCTCAGAGGCCTCCTATTCCAGTCTGAGATGGGAGAGTCATCTTCTCCATCTTTGGTAGACTGTCTTCATTTGCTTGAACACCTCCGAGAAGAGGGAGCTCACTACTGGACAAGGAAGTTAATTTCCCTTTGGGGAACTTGTCCTGCTGTATATTACACCCAGAGTGAATGAACGGTCCCAGTTATCGATCACGAAAGGGAATTCTCAGCCCTCAGCCTTGGGTCTGTTCTTCACATACTTGAGGAGAGCCAGCCAGGTATGCCTAAGTCACTCTCTTTCTTAACCCACCCTAACATGAGCAGGTTCCAGACCCTTTACTACCTTGAAATGCTCTCATTTGACAATCTCCTCCATATGTGGTGCCCAGAATCACACCTGGCTCCAGATGTGGTTTCACCAGCCGAGACTGGAGAAAACTGTCACCTCCCTCCACGTGGAATAAATCTGGCACACTCCTGCCTCAGAGCCTTTGCACTTGCTGTTCTTTGCTTGCGTGGCCCACACCCTCACTTCAATCAGGTCTCTGTTCAGAGCGGTCTTCCCTGACCCCCAGATGTGCCTCAACTCCTCCTACCCGGCACTCCTCATCCACCGTACCCCACTTAATTTTTCTCCTTGGCACTCCCCCGCACACACTTCACACCATTATTTGTTTATTTGTTTGTCATCTCTCTTCCTTACCATTCTATTAGAATGGAGGCTTTGCAAGGCCACTGCAGGATTTCAAGCACTGAAAACATTGCATTCAAGGGGCAACAAGCACCCAATAGATTTGGTTAATGATTGAATAAATATATCTAAGTGTTGCCAGGTATGTACTGAGTGCGCATTATTATCCAGATAATTACTGGATACTATGCTGGAGGCTGAGGATGCAACAGGGAAAAAGATATTTATGATTTTAATCCAAATGGAGCTTTGAGCCTATTCATTACTTGCCCCTATTAATGTGGCTTAATACAATGGTAGTTTTTCTAAGATCCATATGGAGCTTGCTCTAAGCTAATGTCTCCAGGTCATTTTGAAACACGAGATCCTGATAATTCAGGTCTCTCCGTGCGTGGACCTGAGTGGCTTTCAATCCCAGAGCAGGACTTTACATTTCCCCCTGTAAATGCTAAAGCTCTCATGTTTTCATCTGTCCCTTCATCTTCCGATATTGACTCTGTCATCTAACCTGTTAACTACCCCTCTCAGCTCTATGTCAATCATGATTTCGGTGCCCCCATCCTGTACCTAATTCCAGCTGTTTGACCTGATTTAAGTCATTTCTCTTAAGCTTTAGTTTCCTTATCTGTTACATGAGATAACAACTGCCTTGTAGGATTATTATGATTTTTTAAAAAGATTTTATTTATTTATTTATCTATTTATTTTAGAGAGAGGGAGAGAGAGCTTGCGCACAAGTGAGCAGGGGAGAGGGGCAGAGGGAGAGGGAGAGAGAGAATCTCAAGCAGACTCCCTGCTGAGCATGGAGCCTGACCCATGGGGCTCGATCTCACCACCCTGAGATCATGACCTGAGCCGAAATCAAGGGTTGGATGCTTAACCAGCTGAGCCACACAGATGCCCCAGATTATTATGATTTTTAAATGAAATTATAATGAATGTCAAAGTACCTACCCAGCATGGTGTCTGGCACCTAGTAGGTACTCAGTAAGAGTTGGTTCTCTTTAATTAAATAATTGTTGTGATTCTTTGTTGACACTGAACCATCAATAAACATTTTTTATACAGTTATTTACATAATTATTCATCCAGCTACAATACCTACCTCCTGTATAATCATCCAAGTTAATGAGGAAAAGTTCTTTTTAGGTTGATTACAGCTAATTAATGCAGAAGGAGTAAAAGAACTAGGACATCATCCTTCTGCAACGATCTCCCTAACGCAATAATGGATCTAGGCAACAGTGATCAATGTAAGACCCTTGGGAAAGGCTGATAGGGAACTTCCTAATGTGTGGATCAGGCAGATGACACCTGAACTCACAGATCAGTCTTAAATCCCAAAAGACAGTTAGAGATGACTATGTCTACAGATGTGCAAGGGAAACACCCACTACCAACTGGAAAGTATTTTTTTTTTTTTAAGATTTTTATTTATTTATTTGACAGAGAGAGAGATAGCGAAAGAGGGAATACAAGCAGGGGGAGTGAGAGAGGGAGAAGCAGGCTTCCCGCGGAGCAGGGAGCCCGATGTGGGGCTCGATCCCAGGACCCTGGGATCATGACCTGAGCTGAAGGCAGACGCTTAACGACTGAGCCACCCAGGCGCCCCAACTGGAAAGTATTCTTGCTAAAATCCAGAACCTGAGTCACATCAAGTCTCTATAGTCAACCACCAGTTTATAGAACATATAGGCAATAAGAGAACACCATGGATCTGTAATCAGTCAAATTCAGACTGTAGAAAATTCTACAGTCTGAAAGGAAAATGACCTTTCTTCCCCTTCTAACAAATAAGTGTCAAACAAACCAACCACAGGAAAAGGAACTGTTAAATACCAAAAGAGACTCATGTCATACCAACCATGTCAGGTATGAAGGCCTTGTTTGGATACAATGAGAATAAACCAATTAACAGGAGACTATTGAACACTGACTATGTATTAGATGATATGAAAGAATTATTACTAATTTTTTGTATCCTAATGGTATTTGTCTATGTTAAAGGAAAGAAAAGGGGTCCTTATGTATTACAAATACATACTAAAATATTTATAGGTGAAATTATGTGATATCTGAGATTTGCTTTAAAATAATCTGGGGATCCAGAGACAGAAAGTAGGTAAGGGGTTGCCAGGAGCTGAGGTGAAAGGAGAATGAGGAATGACTTCTGCTGGGTATGGGGTGATAAACATGTCTTGGAATTATATAATGGTGATGGTTCCACCTTGTGAATATACTTGAAAAACCACTGAATCATACACTTTAGAAGGATGAATTTTATAGAATGAAAATGATAGATCATTTTTTTTAAAGATTTTATTTATTTATTTGAGAGAGAGAATGAGAGAGAGAGCATGAGAGGGGGAGGGTCAGAGGGAGAAGCAGACTCCCTGCCGAGCAGGGAGCCCGATGCGGGACTCGATCCCGGGACTCCAGGATCATGACCTGAGCCGAAGGCAGTCGCTTAACCAACTGAGCCACCCAGGTGCCCCTGATAGATCATTTTTAAAAAATGAAAAAAGTATCCAATGGTGTTTGAGAGGAAGTGTGGAGTATGTAGAACAAACTGACCATCAGTGAATAATGGTTGAAGTTGGGTGATTGTTACATGGGGATACACTTTACCATTTTCTCTTCTGTTGTGTATATTTTAAAATTTCCATAATAAAAGGTTAAAAAAAAGGCAGGACTGAAAGAGAAAGACAAATAAAAGTGAGAATGTAAAACTGGGCTTCAAAGGAGGTTAAATGCCCACATGGTAATATCTGGCTAGGGGGGTGACCCCATTTGGTTGTGTTCATTCTTTTTTTTTTTTTTGAGAGAGAGTGTACACGGGCATAATCAGGGAGAGGGGCAAAGGGAGAGGAAGAGAGAGAGAATCTCAAGTAGACTCCCCACTGAGTGTGGAGCCTGATTCGGGGCTCAGTCTCACAACGCTGAGATCATGACCTGAGCTGAAATCAAGAGGCAGACACTTAACCAACTGAGCCACTCAGGTGCCCCACCACCATTCTTGGAATTAAAATCCATGTGACATCTCCTGGGCTCCTCTTATAGAGGACACTGATGTGTAACAAATGCCAACAATGCTTTCTGATGTTTGATGTTTCCTGTAATACCCCTTAGTGTAGGCTCATGTACTTGTGTTATCTCCTTTTTTTTTTTTTTTAATTTTTATTTATTTATTTGACAGTGCACGAGAGAGACAGCACAAGTAGGGGGAGCGGCAGACAGAGGCAGAGGGAGAAGCAGGCTCCCCACCGAGCAGGCAGGCCAATATGGGGCTCCATCCCAGGACCCCGGGATCATGACCTGAGCCGAAGGCAGACGTTAACCAGCTAGCCACCCAGGCACCCCTCGTGTCATCTCATTAAGATGTGAAGAAAGCAGTTTTGCAGATGGCCAATAAATGCAATCCAGTGATCACTCTGATCCATTTGTTATAGTTTATTTTTTTATTTTTTTAAGATTTTATTTATTTATTTGAGAGAGAGAATGAAAGAGACAGAGAGCACATGAGAGGGGGGAGGGCCAGAGGGAGAAGCAGGCTCCCTGCAGAGCAGGGAGCCCGATGCGGGACTCGATCCTGGGACTCCAGGATCATGACCTGAGCCGAAGGCAGTCGCTTAACCAACTGAGCCACCCAGGCGCCCTATAGTTTATTTTTTATTCGAAAAACCAATACATACACACACAGCAAATAAATAAATAAATAAATAAATAAATAAATAAATAAATAAATAAATAAATAAAATAAGTATGTCTTCTACTCTAAACCCCAAGCCCCCTGGTGAAAGTATTCTTTGTACTCTTCTGGAAATATTCTATGAATATCATATTGTAAGAGGATGTAAAATGAGTCTCTTCTTGTCTGTGTGGTTAATTTTATGTGTCAAATTGGCTGGGTCGTGGTGCTCAGATATTTGGTCAAATGTTATTCTGGATGTTTCTATGAGGGAGTTTTGGTTGAGATTTACATTTAAATCTGGACTTTTGAGTAAAGCAGATTGCCCTCCATAATCTGAGTGGGCTTCACCCAATCAGTTGAAGGCCTGAATAGATCAAAATTCAGCATCTTCAGCCTACCGGCCTACTTTGCAGATTTGGGACTTACCCGACCCCTGATACTCATGTGAGCCAATTCCATATAATAAACCTCTTTATCTCTCTCTATACACTTCCTATTGCTTCTGTTTCTTTAGACAACCCAGACAAATGCACTGTTTCGGTGACAGCTGAAGCAAGAAGACAAAGGTACCACCTTCCAAAGTAAGCTGTGACAGAAATCACTGTGGCCAAGAACGGGTAGACTCACCCACACTGATATAACAAGGTTGGCTGGCTGGAGATTCGAGATTGTGAGGTGATGATTTCTTTGGAAAAGTTGGGCCAGCTGCTACTCCTCTTGCTACATCTGGTAAGAGCATCAGTGGGACGAGACTGATGGGTGTCTGAGCAGCAAGGCAGAACTTAGCGGATGTGCTCCCAGGCCACCTGCAGCTCAGCACCCCACACTTTGATCTCTCCAGGCTAAGAATGTGAGCACTTCCTATAAACCACAGGTGGGCTGTGTGGGAGAGACATTAGCCTCGAGCCATTTAAAATCCCACACAGAGGGAGCAGTGGCTGAAGGGCCACCCCCTTGGTCCAAGCCACCACCATATCTCTTTCGACCACTGCAACCATCTTCTTTTAAAATTCCTCTTGGCCAAGCCAAAGCTCAGACTGATTTCCTTAGCATCTCTGGGGGTGTGGGCCAAGGCATCGGTATCTTTAGAAGCTCCCCCAGGCAGCTGTGTGCAGCCCAGGTCGAAAAGCATGACCCTGTGTGATCTGGGTCCTACTTACCTCTCTTTCTCACTCAGCCAAACATGTCCCTGCCTCACTGCCTCTGGACTTGCTATTCCCTCTGCTTGGAACAATTTTCCCGAATACTTTCCTGTGGCCCACTTCTTCAGGTCTCAGCCCCGATGACCCCTTAGTGGAGGCTTTTCCAACTACCCGATATAAAGTAGCTATCCTTCCTTGCCCACTCTGGGAAGTCTCTACTGAATTACCCTGGTTTATTATTATTACTTCTTTTCCTACCATCTTTGACTATCGGAAATTATTTATCTGCTAATGTACTTTCTCTCTCCTCCACAAAAACGTAAGCCAACAAGACCAGGGCCTCTGCGTCTTGCTAGAGAGACAATAAAACAGTGTTTAAGAATGTAAGCTCAGGGGAGCCTGGGTGGCTCAGTCGGTTAAGCATCTGCCTTTGGCTCAGGGTCCTGGGATTGAGCCCCGCGTTGGGCTCCCTGCTCAATGGGAAGCCTGCTTCTCCCTCTCTCATTCCCCCTGCTTGTGTTCCTGCTCTCGCTGTTTCTCTCTCTCTCTCTGTCAAATAAATAAACAAATAAATATCTTAAAAAAAAAATTAAAAAAAAAAAAGAATGTAAGCTCAAATCCCAGCTCCGTCACCTATGAGCTGTGTGACCTTGGGGGAAGTTACTTAGCCTCTCTGTGTCTCACTTTCCCTATCAGAAAAATGTTGGGTAACTTGGTGTTGTAAAGTAGCCACTCCACATCAAATGTGGATAACTTGCTGGATTACTGTCGAATGTCATTGGATTGTTGTCGAGCATTAGATAAGATACTACATGTAAATGGTCTGGAAGAAGGCTTGGCTCATCACAAGCATTCAGTAAATGTTGACCGTTCTGATTATTGTCATCCCCTCCTATACCCTGAACACCCAGTATAGTGCTTGGCACACAAGAGGAACTCAGTAAATATTCGCTGCAAGAGTGAACGAAGGGCCCAGTCGTGGTAATAGCTGAGTGCAGAGAGTCTAGGCAGGAGGGAAAAGCAGGTGCAATGGCCCTGAGGCTCATGGTACTTACAGGAAAGAGACTCACAAACAACAGATAATTGAGCCTAACACCTTCTCGTGGAAGCTGAGGGTGAATAGTATTTCATGCTTGAACAGGGGCAACCCTATCTCCCTATACAGGTGAACACAGAGAATGGGGCCAAGATCCTTCCCAGAAAATGGCCTGGAATAAACTGGATCCAGAGACCACGAGAGACTGAAGTCCACTGCCCTATTTCAATAGCCTAGGAAACATTTCAGGCGAATGTGACCAGCGGCTCATCCTGGCCGCATCCATCTCCGTCAAGTTCCCATAGAAGGCCCAGTGTGGAGCATGCTCTTTCCTGGCGCGATGGCCCAGACAAACTTGTTTTTTCCAAACAAAGATAACGAGCTGCATGAGGCAATTTACTGAACCAGGTTATTTATGAATAAGCTAAAAGCTGGGAGGACAGCTACCAACAATAATAACTATAGCTTCAGAGCACTTGTTCTGTGGTCTTTCTGGCTGGAATCAGCTCGCAGGGCCAGCTGGAGACTCAGGCCACTCCTAGCTTGAGATATTAAACCGTAACCCTGGCCCACAAATGGATGCTTGTTTTTCTGTTTTTATAACAGGAAGGCGTGCATCCAGCTCATTCCAGAGCTGTATTCGCTCATTAAGAAACAAGTTAGATGGGGTGAAGAGGGATGGGCTGCATCTCTGTTTTCCCTCCCAGTAAATTTTTTTTTTTTTTTACCAGTCTACAGCTCCTAGACTCTCCAGGCAGGACTAAGTATAGGTGTTTTGTGTACGTCATTAACGTCAAGCCATCCTTACAGTGGAGTTCAGAATTAATTCCTGAGGTCAGCATCGAAAGCCTGAAAGAGGTAAGTGGGAGTTGCTCTAACTGAATGGAGAAGTTTCCAGACTTTCCTGGGTTCATGGCTTCCATCTTAGGAATTATTTCATGGCTTTCTAGGCCAAGAGAAATATCGAGCAGTTTCATTTATTAAGCACTTAGAGCAAAATAGCTTACAAAGTACTTATGTCCTAACAACTTGGTAATTGAAAAAAATACGCATCATGTTTTTACTTCCTTTAAAATAGCTACAATTACTTATTAGTGCGATATGTGTGCGTTCGCTGGGCACTGCACAAATTCCCGAACCTTGGAACCAGATCGGACACCGTCACCCTCGTTTCCTGTTCCACACTGATTTTCACAGGGTACTTGCTTAATTTTTAGTGCAACCACCACCCAAACCCCAGCTTTGCAAAGATGTGACATCACTGAAAGGAACATGTTGTAATGTGATGTTGAAACTGCGAACTACCTCGTTGAGCAATTTGCACGGTGTCTGACACGATGTCTAGAACTGCCGTTCCCTTGAAAATTCAAAGTACACCATGCTGCCCCCAGGGCATCCGAATGCAGGGTTTGGGAACCGTGGGCCTAATGTTATTACTTTTGGCATCCTCCCCGGCAGTAAAGAACCCACATCTCTGATGCAATAGCCCTGGCGAAAAGCCTGCCTACTCCTCATGGAAAATGGAGGTCTGAGAAAGCCACGGGCTGGAAATCTCCAATGAACCGATCTATACTTCAAACTAGGCCACACTTTAGGAAAATTAAAAGGATATTACACTTTTTAAGATGGTGTAGTGGTTTGAAAGGACCATGTTCTTAGTGCAAAGGTGGTTTAGAGTAAGCTCGGTATTTAGAAGAGTCCTTAGGGGCGCCTGGGGGGCTCAGTCGGTGAAGCGTCTGCCCTCGGTTTGGGTCCTGGGATCGAGCCCCCCATTGGGCTCCCTGCTCTGTGGGGAGTCTGCTTCTCCCCTTGCTTGTACTCTCTCTCTGACAAATAAATAAAATCGTTAAAAAAAGAGTCCTTAAACATACCTGAAATAAAATAAAATAAAATGTCATCCAAGGGCTGGATGAAACAGATAATGAAGGCCCAGTCGCCATCATTGAGGAGCTCACAGCCCATGGAAGAGACAGATATAGGGACAGAACGTCCAACAGGGGGCTGCCCTCCATGAGCAGCAGAGGGACCCTGAGGCCTGCGGGGTGGATGGGGCAGGGAAGGGTTCCCAGAGGGGATGGAGTCCACACAACTCCCTTTGTAATGATCTTGGGGAGAAGGATGAGTTTAAATTCAAAGTTCTGTCTTCTTTGTGAAATGGCAATATAAAAATTAACAGATTGTTATGGGGCTTTACTTATCTTAATATTTTCACACATTTTTTCAAGAGTTCTTATCTGTTTTTTAATGAGCATGAACGTACTACACAGGTTACATGTAGTATCTCATTTAAGCTGGAAAAACAACCCTACGGGCTTCTGGCCATGGTGTAGCCACACAAGCTCTGTCTCTGTAAACCACTAGAAGACCAGAAAAGCTTTACAAGGCGACCACTCAAGGCAGTGGGAGCAGGCCCTGGAAAGCCGTGAGCCGTCAGGGAAGGGAAATTCAGAAGGTGCACCCCGTGTTCGCCTGGCCCCTTCCCCGGCCACATCTGTCACTCTGCACTGGCCTGTGACACTCGGACACAGGGTCCCCTTCACTTCCTAAACACTTCCTGCCTCAGGGCTTTTACATATGCTATTCTCTTTCCCCGGAAGCTTCTTCCCTCGTATGGCTCACATGGCTGGCTCATTGCCATTCTTCTCATCCTTGTCTCAAAAGCACTGCCTCAGTTTCTCTGATAGTTCCACCGTGTGGTTTTCTCTTTTAACAGCGTGTTCTTTTTTTTTTTTATATATAATTGGGTATTATCTGCTCATTTATACACTATCTGCCTCTCCTACTAGCCCGTGACTGCCATACCTAGTGCCCAACCCAGCACCTGGCATGTAGCAGGTGCTCAATAAAGAGCTCTTGAATGAAAAAAAGAAGGGGGCGCCTGGGTGGCTCAGTCAGTTAAGCGTCTGACTCTTGATTTTGGCTCAGGTCATGATCTCAGGGTCCTGGGATTGAGCCCCGCGTGGGGCTCCATGCTCAGCTCAGAGTCTGCTTGTCCCTCTTCCTATGTTCCTCTCCCCGCCCATGTGTACGCTCTCTCTTTCTCTCTCTCAAATAAATAAAAAAAAATAAAATAAAATCTTAAAAAAAAAAGGAAGGACACATCAGATTGTTCCCCTCCCCTTCCTGGGGGGGAGGTGGGGAATGGGGACTTAAGAGGGAAATGGAGAGATAGGGAATTCCTCCTCTCCTTTTACAAAAGTTATTAAAACATGTTCATGAAGGATTTGGGACTTGAAGACAACCTATGTCCACTGTGTATCCTCCCAGTAACCTTGAGAAGGAGATGCTGTCCTCCTCCTCATTTCGCAGATGAGGTTCAGAGAAGTGAACAACTTGTCCGAGATCCCCCAGCCAGTCAGTGGAGGGCCTGTGGGTTCAGAGCCCTGGGATCTGTTCATGACACTGTCCTGCCCTGTTTAATGGCAAAGGATTGAAGTGACTTTTCTCTTTTCCTACTTTTTCCTCTTCCCACTTACCCTTGTCTGGCCCTTTTTCAAGCTCTACTGACAGATGGACTTGGGCTGGCCAAGTGCAGTTTCTGAGAGCACAATGGGGCAGGTGCCCAGTCTCTTCCTGGAAGGACCCAGGGAGGGCGAGCTCTACCAGCCAAACTCCACAGCCAAGGTATCCCCCAGCTGGAATCATGGCCCTGATGATTCAACCCAAGGGCCCCTTGGCCAAGGCAGCCCATGCCAGGGGACCCCGGTGTGGCTGAGGCTCATGGCTGAGTCACAGGGCAGGCTGCTGGCACCTGAATCACCCGCTCCACCTCTGGCTGGAAAGAAGAGACTGGGGGGCTGGGGTGGGGCACTGGGCTGGGACCGTGTGTCTCATCCTGTGAATACATAATAACGATGACTGTAGTAACAACAATGATGAGCAGTGACAGCTACATTTAATGACTGCTTTTTATGTGCCAGGTGCCATTCTAACAACCATAGATGAATTCACTTAGTCTTCATTACAATCCCATGCAGTAAGTACAATTGTTTTTTCCTATTTCACACATGATAAAAGCGTGGCCCAGCAAAATTATGTAATTGGCTGCAGGGCCCAGGGCTGGCACATGGAACAGATGAGATGTAACCAAGGTCTGTCTGATTCCAAAGGCCAGCCATTCATCTGACAAGTGTTTATGGAGCCCTTACCATAAGCTAGGTGCTGTTGTAGGCACCAGGGATACAATGGCGGGGTTGAGTGAGAAATTAATAGACAAATCCATGACATCTTAGGTGGAGACAAGTGTTACGGGGACAATAAACTAAGCTAAGGTGGGTAGAGCTTACGGGAGGTTAGGGTGCGGATGTTATTTCACACAGAGTTTTTGAGTCCTCCCTAATAAGGTGGCATTGAGCAGAGAGACCTGAAGGAGGTGAAGGAACGAGTCCCAGGCTTCCCCCGGACACAGAAGAGCAAACGCTGAGACTGTATGTACTTGACGAGTCACGGGGAGGCAGGTGTGCTCGTAGCTAAGCAAGCTGAGGCCAGGATGGAGGTCAGGGCAGTGGGGAAGGGATGCGAGTCACGTTAGGGTGTCACAGTCAACAGGAGGACTTCTGTTTCTACTTGAATGACATGGGGAGCCAGGGAGGGTTTGGGGTAAGGAAATGACATGATCTGACTTATGGTTTAAAAGGATCGCTTTGCTATAAGGAGACCAAAGCAAGGGCTAAAAGGGCAAGAGACCCATTGAAAAGCTTGGTTAATGCTATAGGTGAGTGATGACAGTGAGTTGAACCAGGGTGGTAGGTTCTAGAACGGGTTTGAAGGCAGAGTGGAAAGGATTTGCTGATGCGTAGGATGCCAGAATTCGGCTCAGGTCATGATCCCAGGATCCCGGGATCAAGTCCCGCATCGGGCTCCCTGCTCGGCAGGGAGTCTGCCTCTCCCTCTACTCCTCCCCCCTGCTCATGATCTCTCTCAAATAAATAAATTTAAAAAAAAAAGAAAGAAAGAAAAATGCAGGCCTGAAGAATGGCTTCAAGGGTTTGGGTTGAGCAGTTGGAAACACGGACCCCTGCCCCCTTTGCTCCCTTCTCAAATGCGAAAGGCTGCAGAAAACCCAAGTGCCCAGTTGTGTCCACCGTCAGATGTCCTGGCGGACATTTCTACAAACAAGTCTGGGGTTCAGAAGGGAAGACCCACCTGGGCATTTAATTTCAGGAGCCACGGATGTACAGAAACCCCTGGAACTGAATGAAACAGCCTATGGAGGGGGATCCAGAGGTTAGAGGTCAGGGACATCAGAGGGAACTAGCAGAGAGGACCGAGTGAGGCATGGCCAGGGGTAGGAGGAGAACCAGTAGAGCCTGAGTATTCTCTATAGCACCATCCTGTTTGGAAAGCCAAACAGAACTCTTAACTTCTGTCCAGAAGGACAAGCCTGGGTAGTCACCCAGGGGCTGCATGATGCTCATCAGCTCTCTCTTCATCCTTAAGGTGACTCTGGGCCTTCCCTCCCATTCTCTCCCCTTCTCCTCCCTGCCTTGCTTCTTGCCTGACTTCACCACAGACTTACACTTTCTCTCATGCTCGCTTGTGCCTCCTCCTGCCAGCTGCCATGGTCGGCGTGGGTGTGAACGTAGCTGAGGAAAGGGGCAGACCAAAACAACTAACTGAAATCAGATAGGATAAGAATCACAAAGAAGTGTTCCAGAAGCTCAGAATTTCTTGTGCTTCTGTGGTTTACAAAGCACCTTCATGTTCAATTCTCTCTTGTGGTGGCTGAGGGGAAGCCCGGGGTATTCAGAGCAGGGCATCGGAGAGGGACTGCCATGTCATCCCCCGACTCCATCTTGGGTTCCCAGCAGGGATAGAAGCGAGGCCAAGACAGGTCCTCTAAGACGGTTGCTGCCTTC